TGTCCGCCGTAGTTTTTGAGACAGGGTCTCACTGACCTTGGAACTCATCTAGGCTGACTGGCCCGTGGGTTGCAGAGACTGTCCCCAAGTATTGGGGTATAGACATGGACCTCCGTGCCCAGCTTTTTACGTGAGTGCTAGAGAGCCAACACACTACTTTACCCAGTGAGAAGCCCTACCTCAGAACCAGCCAGGTGGGGGCGGAGGGATGGCTCAACAGTTAACACCGCTTCCAGAGGACCTAGGTTCAGTTCCCAGCCAACCATCTGTAACTCCAGTTTTAGGGGATCTGACTCCCTCTTCTGGCCTCCACAGGCACTGTATACATGTGATACACAGACATATATGTAGACACAAACCTATACACATAAAATAAACAGAAATGAATCTCAAAAGCCAGGTGTATGGTGTGTGAGAAATGACACCTATGGTTCACTTCTGGCCTCTACATGCACATGGACACAAACGTGTACACACACACACACTCACACACACTCTCACACACACTCTCACACACTCTCACACTCACACACACACTCACACACTCACATACAAAAGGAAGGATATACCGTTTTCCTGGAGAAGAGGGAATAGAACTTCCTCTTTGGACCTCAGTTTGCTCTGAGAACTAACATATATATATGCTGTTATAGTCACCTGACAGTCTGTCCTGGCTGTCCCACAAAGCAAGCACTCACATGTCAGTTTTTCTCAGACTACGTAAGTCACGGCATAACGTCAGGGATATAACTAGAGAGCTTGTAGTGTGTCTTTGTTTCAATATTCAATATTCAAGATTGTTTCAGTAGAGCAGAGGATTAATCAAACTGTATTTAATTCCTCTTGAGATTTCAGAGTTAGAGTAGTTTATTCTTACTTTCTCTTAATTCAAGTAATCATCAGTCTCCCATTAAAGAGGGATGAGAGAGAGAGAGAGAGAGAGAGAGAGAGAGAGAGAGAGAGAGAGAGAAATCTGTTTAGAAGTGTTATCAAATTCTTACTGTTATATCTAAAATCCAGATGCCCTGGCTCATGTTACTGACAGGCCAGTATTAAAAGGCCCCACAATGCATTTGGGGGCTCCCCTTGGTTTTATTTGACATGAAGACACCGGGTTTAGATCTCACAGAGTCTTCAGATTCCCACGCGGAGACCCCTGCACCGACTGTGCTGTGCTCAAAGCACATTAAATTGAATTTAAAGCCCGCTGCCCTCTCCTGCCAGCTCTTCTCCGCTGTGCTTAAGGAACTGTTTGACATAGAACCTGGGGAGAAAGAGATGTCGGGCTTCGAGTGGAGGGAGTGATTGTATTGGTCAGCATCCTGTGTGGGAGGGGATGCGGCTCAGTTGGGAGAGAGCTTGTGGATCGGCACGAAGCCCGCCACACCACTTCAGCCCCAGCTTTGCATATGGTGGTCCACACCTGTCCCCACAGCAGCCGCGGCGGCACACGCCTTTAATCTCAGAACTCGGGAGGCGGAGACAGGTGGATCTCGGTGAGTTCGAGGACAGCCTGGTCTACAAAGCTACACAGAGAAGCTCTGTCTTGAAAAAACAAACCAAAACAAAACAAAAAACCAAAAAGACAAAACAAACAAACAGCAACAAAAAAAACTGTCTTATGCTTTACTTTGTGTGTGTGCATATGTGTAGCATACATGTGTGGGGTGGGTGCATTCACAGAGGCTGCTCTGTCTCTCTCCACCTCATTTCTTTAAGACCTGGAGCTAAGGTGGTGGCCACCAAGTACTGGGGAGCATCCTGTCTCTGGCTCCCACAGAACTGGGGTTATAGGCTTGTGTGACCACAAGAAGTTTTTCCACAGTGTCCAGAATTCAAATTCAGGCCCGACTGCTTAGACAAAGAGTACTCTTACCCCCAGCCCTCCCCAGTGCTTAGACAGAAGTGCCCTTACCCCCAGCCCTCCCCAGTGCTGAGACAGAAGTGCCCTTACCCCCAGCCCTCCCCAGTGCTGAGACAGAAGTGCCCTTACCCCCAGCCCTCCCCAGTCTTCATGTCTTGCCTTTGAATAGTTAACTTGTACTTTGTGTTTCTGACTTGTTACAGTCGACCTTTAAAATATATATAATTTAAAGCGTTAAACTTAACCCATTGGTTGGCCCAGTTTTCCAGAGAGACTGAGGGTCATGGGCTGAAAATAAAATCTCTACCTTCAGTGCCTTTATTCTGAGCCTTTGTATACATCCACAATGTGTAGATACCAAGTCACAGCTAGGTGTGGTACACACAAAGGCAGGAGGGTCCTGAGCGCCCAGCCATCAGCCTGCATTGTCCGGTTCAGCCTTGTCTCAAAGACCCAAACTCAACCAGCAAAAAAGTAGATTCCAAACTTGAGCAATGTTGCCTTTGCGAGGTGAGGTCAGTCTGGTCCACATAGTGAGTGCCTGGCCAGCCAGGACCACATAGTCAGGCCGTGTCTCAAAACCAGCAGGCAAGCAGAAGCCAAGCCATAAATACTGAGTTGTTCTCGAGTCTCCTCTAAATCAAACTGCCTGTTCCGTGTTTGCCTCCGCTCCAGTTATCCTGAGAGGTTGCAGGTGAGGGTCAAAGGCAGGCGGTAACAAGTGTGATTACAACTAAGGGCCAGGTGTGCAAAGACTGTAGAGCTCTGTGTGTAACAGCACATGAAGTTAAAGCCCGCCCTGCGGGTTGGAGCACATACCTTTGCTTTCTCTACTAGAAACACAGCTCTGGCCTGGAGATGTGCCCCGTGGGTAGAGTGCTTGCTTAGCATGCACTGATCCCTGACCTCCAGCCCCAGGACCGCATAAACTGGGCTAACGGTGCAGCCTTGTATTCCAGAGCTGGGGAGGTAGAGGCAGGAGGATCAGAGGTTCATGGTCATCTTTGGCATCTAGGGAGTTCAAAGACACCCTGGGCTAGACACCCTGTCAAAAAGAAAAGAAAGAGAGGGGACTCAATCATGTGGCTATCCCAGGAGTATGTTTCCTCTCAGAAAGGGCAGTGCTCCAAATGTCCTGAAGCCACACCATCCCTTTTCTCAGTGTGCATGTGCTTGTGTGTTTGCTGCTTGTGTGTGGAGGCCAGAGCGGGGCATCTGGAGTCCTCCCCATTACTCTCTACTTTATTACCTTGAGACGGTCTCTCACTGACCCAGAAGCTCGCTGTTTCGCTGATTGACTGTTTGAGCTAGGCTGGCTGCTCTTAGGAGCCTCCTGTCTCCACCCCACAGTGACAGGGTAATAGGGCTCACACTGCCATGTTCAGCTTTTACATGGGTGCTGGGGATTCGAACTCAGGTCCTCATGCTTGCAGAGCAAGGGCTCTTATCCACTGAGCCATCTCCGGCCGCTCCAGCCCCCTTTTTACAGTCTCACCAAACTGCACACTAACCCACTATTTGCTGAGGGCGTCTCATCTCCAGCTCCTCTTTGATTCTCAGTTTCTCTCTGTGGTCCCCCTCCCCGCCGCCAACTCAATGCCATGAGAGTTCCCAATCAAATTATCAACCACTTGGATTAAATTTAATCCCGAGGATGGAGTACGTCTGGACCAAGGATCTGTAGATATGGTCGTATCATTTTTCTTCTCTCAATATTTGTTTCTTTTCTCCAGGAGTGCAGGATAGCTTATGGTAGAGAGACACTACATATGATATTCTTGCAAACAGCAAAAGCATTCTTAATGAAATGTCATGCTAATCTCTTGAATTTCGTTCTTTTGTGATAGAATCTAATGATGAGATTAGAGCAGTAAGCTGTGGACCAGTGCTAATCCTCTGCACTCCTCATCCTATTTATTTGGGTTGAAGAGTTTTACTTGTTTCTTTGGAGCGCCCATGTTAATTGAGTACTCAGTATTCATTACGAATAATCATGTCTGTTTTCTTGTTGAGCTTCGGAAGGCCCTTTTGCCTTCTGTGAAAGCCGAGCAGACTGCATTAACTCCTGGTTTAATTTTAAAAAACCAGTGTGGAACTTGTGGGTGCCAACACCTTGAAGAACCACATGTTTAATAATGGGAAGGCTCTCCATCAGATCTGAATTAATAATGATGCTGACTTATTGTTTTAGAAGACGGAGTCCTTGACCTGCTAGGTTGAAAGCTCCGTGGCCGCCCTGAACCTCTGTGGGTCCTTTAGCTGAGCCATTTCCCCCGTGAATAATTAGAGGCATTTGAAGGTATTGCATAGAAGCCAATTTGTGCCTCTCACTTTGCATATTGCTGAAGCCTCATGAATTAATCATAAGCAGGGCCAAAAATTAACTTCTTCAGACACATATTTTGATGGGTCATGAGGGAGAATGTAAAGTGATCTGTAAAATATTCTACTGATCCTCTAAGTATTAAATTATTATACCTACGGGCTAATTTTGTGGGGCGGGGGGAGTCCCTTCCCTTCTGGAACTGACTAGTCTATTTGAAAGAGATCAAGGTTTTGGGGGGTTTTATTTTTTCCCCTCTTTTTCTAGGAATATAAATGAGCCATGTAGGTACCTCTTGAAAAGCTTCACTCTTGTGTTAACTCCTGATTTTAATTGTAGGAGTTAAGAATCCTGGATAGCTCAGTTTGTAGAGCATCAGGCTTTTAATTTTCAGAATTATTGTTTTCAGATTTTTAAATTACAATTATTTGTGAGTGTGTGTGTGCATGCATGAGCAGGCATGTGTATTTGTGTGTTCATGTGTGTATGTCAGAGGACAGCTTGAGAGGGTGGTTTTCTCCCTCCATGTTAGCTCTGAGGATGGAACTCAGGCTGCCGGGTTCGGCAGAAAGCTCCTTTATCGTCTCACTGGCATGAATTATTCTTCCTTTTATTTTTGAATTATTTGAGTTTTAATCTCCTATAACCACCCTGAAACTTCTGGTTGATTTGGTAAAAAGTTATTATGCACCAACCAATAACTTGCCTTTTCATTTTAAGCACCCAGTGGGATACAGATTTCCATACTTGCGTAAAAATCTGGGTTTACATTAAAATCCTGTTTCTCTCCTTTTCTGTGTTCCTTCTTTTCAGCCAGTGAAACCGAAATTGCATTCTTCTGCGAAGAAGATTATAAGAGATACAAAGCTAATCCCACCTCATCCTGGTGAAGGTGCCCGGGGCACACCTTTACCTTTTTTATTTCCACAAGTGAGTTTTTTTTTTTTTTTTAATTGTCAAATAAATCTTTAAAAAATTAATCCTTGGCTTGATTTTACTTTATCGCGGTCTCTCTCTGCCATTCTCTTTTCTTCCTTTCCTTCTTCCCCTTTCTACATGAGACCCTGTCTCAGAATATTTTGGTTTCTGTAATTAGGAAGTATTTGGTGGCTTAATGTGTTGGGTTCTTTAGAAAGATCCAACCAGAGCTGGAGAGATTGTTGAGAGCGCTTGCTGTACAAGCGTGAGAAACTGAGTGTAAATTCCTACCACCCATGTGGGAAGCAGGTTGTGGCCCTGGTGGAGGGACAGACCAGAATGTCACTGGGGCGTGCTAGCTGCCAGCCTAGCTCCAGGTTCAGCAAGAGAGCCTTCTGAAAGGTTTGAGTCAGACAGAGACAGAGCGGGACACCCAGCACCCTCTTCTGACTTCTGCATGTGCTCGGGGTGAGGGCCCTTTACACATGAAACACACACACACACACACACACACATACACACACACTTTAAAAGTGTAAAGAAAGATGCAACCAAGATACTGTTTGGAGATACTCTTTAGAGAAACTACTATTGTCTCTGATTTGCAGAGATTACTGACGGCTCTTAAGGGACAGCCAAGGCCACTGTTCCCTAGGAGTGTGAGATGTACACCCCAAGGCTTTGGGTGGGGAGGGTTCCTGGTGTAAAAGGGTTAGTTGTCTTGCTTTGCCTTTTTTTTTTTTTTTTTTTTTTTTTTTCATCAATCTACACAAATAATGCTGCTAGCATTTTTTCTTTTCTAGTCATTTCCTGACTTCTTATGGCAAACTATAATAGAACCAAATTCATTTGTTGGGAGAGAGTAGGTAGCCAGATATGTGTGCTTTCAGGAGAAAATTGTGGAGGTGCAGTCAGTCTGTGTCCTGGAAGCCACAGTCTTCCAGAGCAATGCAGCTCTCTTGGTTCCGGGGGTGCTGAACAGTAGCTGTTTTGAAGGGGTCTTGGCTAGCATGTGTCCGCTCAGATTGTCTAGAAAGGCTAGAAAGTTCAGGGCTTACGCTGTTGGCCTCTTCCTTTGCAGAGAGAGCAAACTGGTTTTGTTGTGGTGGTGGAGTCCTGAGGCTGCTAATGTTTTCTTTCTAAAAGAATCATCTCGAAGGGTCTGATTAGCATGGTCAGAAGCACTCCGCTTTGTTGAAAGGTTTAATAGAGTCCTTTTTTTAAAAAACAAAGATTGTTTGTTTTATTCTTCATTCATTAAACAAAGTGCTGAATACACAGATGGCCTCAGACACTTTTTGCTGCAGTAAGTGGGAAAGATAGATATGCTTTTACTAGATGGCAGGACAAACTGCCGCAGGAACACGGATAAGGGGCAGTCAGTTCTGTGAGGTGTTTTTGTTGTTGCTGTATTGTTTTTCTAACTCCTGGTTGAGCTGTATTTCTAAGAACTGAAGAGTTTTTCTGAGGCAAAGAATTGCTGCTGCTGTTGCTGTTTTTGCTGCTGCTGCTGCTGTTGTTTTGGGCATGTGATGCCCGCAGTGTGCACGAGGCAGTCAGGGGACAGCTTTGTGGAACCAGTTCAGGTCTCTCTGCTTTCATGAGAATTCAGGGATCTAATTCAAATCCCGAGGCTTGTACGGCAAGTGCTTTGTTCACCGAGCCATGCCAGCAGCCGAAAATGTCTTGTCTTTGTTGTTGTTTGTTGTTTTGTGTTCTCTCTCTCTCTCTCTCTTTTTCTTTCTCTCTCTTTTTTCCCAAGAGGCATTAGCAAGCACGTAGGCAGGTAGCATGGCAGAGCTTGGGGCTTAAGTAGAAGTGCAGGTTCCAGGAGCTGGGGGCAGGGACTGTGATTTCAGAGGGAGAAAATAAACATGGAAGAATGTGAGCTTTTTAGAAGAAAGTTAGGATAATACGCATGACCTTAGGATAGAGACCTTAAAATGTGGCTTTTGACATTCACCAAATCTGACATACAAATATGAAAAACTAGGTCAATGATCACAGTGGCTGCAGTTAAGAGGACCTGAGTTCAGTTCTCCGCACCCACCTCCAGGGGCTCACAACCACCTGCAACTCCAGCTCCAAGGGATCTTACTCCCTCTTCTGGTCTCTGTGGACACTGCACTCATGTGCACAAACTACACAACCATACACACACACATACATATAATTTAAAAATGAATCTTTTCAAAAAAAAATCACATGGAGGTCAAAACACAAAGACTGAAAGAGTCTATCTGCACATAAAAAACGAAGGATTAGTTTCTAGACTATTTAAAGAACTCTTGCAAATTAATGAGAAGAAGATAACCATATAATGAAAATTTATAATCATGTGTATAGAAGGAATACAGGGGGCAGACAAGATGTCATCAACTAAAGGACTTGCTGCTGAGCCTACATCCCTGAGTTTGATTCCCAGGACCTACATGGTGGAAGGAGAAAACTGATCGCTGCAAGCAGTGTTCACACACACACACACACACACACACACACTCATACACACTCTCACACATACTCACACAGACACACATGCACAGACATACACACTCACACATGCACAGACATACACATACACTCGCACACGCACACTCACACACATTCACACACACACACTCATACATACTCTCACACATACTCACACACAGACACACATGCACAGACATACACACACACTCACACACTCTCACACTCACACACATTCACACACACTCACTCATACATACTCTCACACATACACACAGACACACATGCACAGACATACACACACACTCACACACTTTCACACATACACACATACACGCGCACACACGCACACTCACACACATTCACACACACACACACACTCACTCACACCCACAGACAGACAGACAGAGTGAAACAGAGACAGAGAGAGACAGAGTGAAGCAGAGACTATGTATGACACACATGAAGATCACATCCTTTTTCCAAGGAAAATCAAGTTAAATAACAAGATTCCACTTTCCATTAACAGACGGACAGGAAAGAAAGGGCTTGGCCGTCACTGATGGTGATGTGTGCCATTTCAGCTGATGGGACAGTAAATCTTATACAGTCATTTAGATGAGCAATTTGGAGGAGTGTCTATTGAAATAGCTGTAAATTATAGGGCCCAGAAGTCCAATTCTTGGAGCCCTTTTTCCAAAGAAATCTCTAAGAAGGGAGTTCGCTGTAGTGTTAAAATAGGAAACTAACCAACCTAAATGATGGCAATAGAAGATTTGTGTAACTGTATATCTCTGTGTTCTAGATTCCTGGTTAGTCAATGATGACGACATCATGTCATTCTTTAATGTCATGGAGTCTAGACATAATGATGAATGAAATTACAGAGGTTCTCAAACAAATATGATACAAGTTTTCAAAAGCACATTGGGCCAGCAAGATAAGGCTTGATGGATAAAGGAGCTTGCTGCCAAGCATGGTGACCTGAGTTCAATTCCCAGGACTGCATGGTGGAGGGAGAGAGCTGACTCCCACAAGTTGCAAACAATTGCACACAGTGACTTATGTGATGGGCAGTATTGATTTTCACTTTGATTGGATCTATAATCACCAGGGAGACACACTTCTGAAGATGTCTGTGATTGGTTAATTATGATTAGAAGGCCTAGACTAACTGTGGGCAGCAGTGTTCCCTGTGTTTGGGTAAAAATGAAAGGGTGAGCTGAGCCCCAGCATCCATCCCTCTGCTTCCTGACTGTGGATGCCCTGTGACCAGCCGCCTCATGCTCCTAATGCCGTGACTCCCCACCATGACGGCCTGTACCCCAAACTGTGAGCAAAATAAGCTCTTCTCCCTTTCAGCTGTTATTGGGAATTTTGTCACAAGAATAAGACGTATAGCTTAAGCAACACGCATGAGCACAAAAGGACACATAGGAGGAAGCTAGGGCTGGGAAGCAAAGACACAAAAAGTCTTATGTATAATGCTTAATTTTATCAGAGTGTATTTGCATTCGAAGCTAGTAAAAACAAATCCAATACATAGACAGCAAATTTAAAATAACAGGGAAAAAAAAGAAGAAGAAAAGAAACTCTCCAGGTAAATGTCATGAATGTATTGAACATTTTGGTGTATTATTTCCCTTTGGGTTGTTTTCCCTAATACTAATATTTTAGTGTTTATCTTATTTTGTGTATTTTGAGCTTCACAAGTAATAGAGGGGAAAACCATCTTAGAGGTGAAAAAAAATCTATAATGCACATATACACATGTATACATTCCAACTGTGGCATGTGTATATGCACATAGACACACATGTATACACACATAGACACACACGTATACATTCAAGCTGTGGCATGTGTACATGCACAAGAGACTTGTGTACATTCCAGCTGTGGCATGTGTATATGCACATAGACACACATGTATACACACATAGACACACACGTATACATTCAAGCTGTGGCATGTGTACATGCACAAGAGACTTGTGTACATTCCAGCTGTGGCATGTGTATATGCACATAGACACACATGTATACACACATAGACACATGTATACATTCCAGCTGTGGCATGTGTATACGCATGTAGACACACATGCACATTGGTTCTGACTTCAGAGATGTTTTGAAAATAGCAGCATTGGGCACTTGGGGAACATGATAGGAATGTCATCCACCCCATGCCAGCGGGCAGCTTGCAGCCACGCTGACCTGTAGGACTTACTGCCCATCATTGCCGTCCTCAGTGGGAAGAAACTATTGTTTCTTCTTGTGTCACGGGAACACACAGGCCCTGCCACTAGCCAGGGAGGTTGTGGGAGCCTGAGGGATCTTTTCACCACAGCAATTGTGTTTATTTCTGTGCTTTTCCAGATAGGTGCAGTGACAGCGATCCTATCCATATAGGACACCTGAGGATGTGGCCCAGCCTGGGGTCTCTGTGGAGGACAGGAAGGGAGGGCAAGGCATCCCCACTTCTGGTAGTATGTTTGTCATTTGTGGCAGGCTCTGAGATTGCTCCATTGTCTTCCTAATGGGCAGGGGAG